TGTCGCAGCTTGTTGGCGTATGTCATACCACAATCCTCGGCCGAATGACCGAAGCGTCGACAATTGTCAGAGCGAGGGGTCCTGCAGTTTCGACGGATGTGTCCAATATTACTTCACCGAGGGCAAAGTGGTGGGTGGCCAGATTGCAGGACGAGGCTTTGCACTCCGCAGACAACAAGAATATGAGAAATATCCGCAATGCGAACTCCATCAGCAAGAGACAAAACAACATCCCTATTTAGCATCCGCCTTTGTTCCATGTCCGCTACTTTCCAGCTTTCTTGTGATATTGTCTTGGACCTTCCCAAAAGCTTGCAGTGCCTCGCACACATAGGCGTCCTCCAAGCGCTCAGGAAGCCACATAAGCTTCAACTTCACTTCCGTGGGCTCCGGGTCTATAACGACGCATCGACGCGACTTTTGACGAAAAATTCGCCTCTTGTGGCCAACTATGGTTTCGTCAGCGTTGACTTGCATGTGACCATCCAAACTTGAGACATTTGAAATTGACCTATAGAGCTTATTTCCTTCAAGTCATTTATGTCCCGAAGAGCATCTCTAAAATCTTGAACCCAGTAAGAGCGACCAGGTAAGTCCGCATGTAGAAAAACAGAGTCCACAACAAGCTTACCGGTGGGAAGGCGAGGAAGTACAGCACGGTAGTCATTGCCGCTGGCTGAAGCCTGAGCAGCACCTCGCCCCATGGCCGATAAATCCTTCGAAGCGGAGAACATGAACACGCGACCGTTCAGAACGTCGTCTTCGTCTTTCTCCTCGGCCACGACTGCTGTTGAATTATGTTCGTAGGGTTGCGACTCAGGGATGCGGATTACTCTGAAACCCTATCATCTTCATGTTTCTGCCCGTTCTCGCATCACGTGTAGCCTAACACTCTTTTTTGTGAAAAATCGCAACCTAAGCTGAATTTATTTTCCATTCTATCGACAAATGATGGTATATAAAGTAGCGAGTACATGTCTTCAAGTCTTGGGCATCTGCCGCGCTAAAAAAGAAGAAAACCACGTGGCTCGTGATTCAAGAGCCACGAGGAATGAAGAACAGCCTAGCTCCAGGCTTGACTGAACGCGGCAGCTGCGATTTCGCATACTCCCGTGTCCCAAATACAAGCACAACCACGGTACGGCGTCTTGAGCTCCATTATCGCCTCTCATATTTTAAAAATAGTAGAAAAATGTTTGCGCCAAACGTTTAACTCACACACCATTGGCTTATTTATGCTTGGTGCATTCGGAAAATATTTAGGTTGCACGGGTGGCCGCCACGTGTGTATTCGCGAGTCCCTTCCTCTATAGCGAGGGTGCAGCAGCAATGAATAGCTGCGCAGTCGAAGAGAAAGGAAACGATGAACATTGGTTCCCAACGGCAAATAACAGTTGTCGAGTGACCATTTCCGACTGGCGATCACAAAGCAAGGAACGTTCACACAAGCGGAGTCCAGAGTTATTCAATCTCATGAGTTACGAAACTTGTTATAGCCTCTATTATAGGACTAGGGACAAGTTTTGCATTCCTCTCCCCCACTCTCAATCAGTAACTAGCAAATTGTCGCTCCACGTACGGAACCCCGCGCACACTAATTTATTTATTTATTTACAGGTACCTTACTGGACCTTGGTTAGGGCATTGAGTAAGGGGGGCTAACAAAGACATGTACAACAAGTAAAAGGGCAAAAGGTGCCAAAACGTAAGCTCAAGACATGAGTAACAAATAAACAAGAAATAAGTAGGTGTAAATTGACATCATACATTGTTACCAAAAAACTAGAAAGATGCAGTTCATGGCACGCAGCAGCTAGGACGTGTACAATACCTGTAAGTAAAATGGCACAGATTGTGGTATAATACACTGGGAAAATCATGAAAGCGCTTACAGGAAGTGTGAACAGTTCGTCCTAAGCAAACAAAAATAAAGCACAAAAATAAGGGGCAAGAAGCGCATTAGAAAAAAAATTTTTGCACAGCATTATGAATGTCATATACATACAAGAACGAAACTGTGAACAAGAAATTATCAACCAAAATGTAAGACCAATTTGTTGCGGAAGGAAACAGGGTTAGTGTCAGATGCCAAGTTATCGGGAAGATCATTCCACAACGTGATGGCACGAGGCAAAGCGGATGCGTTAAAAGAGTTCGTTTTGCCGTACATGCGCGAGAAACTAAGCCGGTTGTGTAGTCTAGTTGATAAAAAGGAGGGTCGTTCAAATGGAAGTCTGGTCATTTTAGTGCCATTGACGTATTTATGAAAGAGGCATAAAACAGAAATGTTGCGGCGAGTGGATAATAATTAAAGTGAATGATCCACTCATGAAGTGAATGATCCATTACTGTATTATTAGTGTTTTGTGATGTCACTCTAAGATGGCGCAACCATGAGCTACGTTCCGAGAATTCAGGACTACTGCGTGTCCTCCTTTTGCAACACCGTTTCACACCTGGCACGGCCGCTGGGTAAAAAACAAGGTGAGGCATGTTGCGGTGTGTCGCCGTCAATTGGCAATCGCGTCTGGACAGAAATGGCAGCTTCTGCCGCTTTTTGAGCGAGGACGCTGGCGCTCCACCAGTATTTCAGTGTGGTATGTGAATCACTGTCGCGTTATCTTCCGCTGCTCGGCCTGTTCTCTGGCGGCGCAAATATCGTGGTGAATGAACAGGTGCTGGTAGCCTTCAACTACGCCTTTCATGTCTGTTGATTCTTCAGTGCTAACGAAAATGCTGACACTGGAGTGAGAAGGAACGATGACTGTGTTTCAGCGCATTCAAAGCGCGCCTCCCTGACGGCGTGTGGGGCCGCAGTACTGTTTCTGTAGATGTCGTTATTGCCTCAGATTTTAGGTCGATGACGCCACCTTGCTGATTTAAGAATTCCATCCCAAGTATCACATCCCTGAAGTGAAGCTGTAGAATTAGAAAGATTGCGGGATAAATCTGGTTATTGATGAGGACTCCTGCTGTGCAAACACCACCCAACGTACTTATATGACTCCCAGCGGTTCTGAATTCAGTGCCTTGCCAAGCAGTCTTCAATGTTTTCTTTAACTTCGTCGCGAAAGGCCCACTGACGACTGAATAGTTGGCCCTAGTGTTGAACAGCGCAGTGACGTTGTGGCCGTCATACATTAGGTCGAGTTCACTGGTTTCTCCTCGTGCATGCGGTTGAATCGTGGCGTAGTATCACTGCTAGGTCTACTTCCTCCAATGCTTCCACGTTACGTCGTCACGTCTCCTGTCAGCCGCGAAGGTTCGACGTCAAGACCATTTTCGTCTTGCGGCGAGCGCTTTCGATTACGTTGGGGCGTCATCGTCGGTGGTGGCGGACGATCTTCGGTAGTTCATCGTAAAGCAAACGCACCTCCATCGGTTACTGCCCTAAGTTTTCTGAGCAAGGGCTGGGAGATCGTCCCCGGCCAAGGCTGGTGTACTGTCCGCGATGCGGCGAGGTGTAGCGGCCGCGCGAGGGCGAACTATACGGTCGTCGGAGTGTCAACTGCGCTCCTGCGAGGTATTCGGCAATGTGACGAGGTCGTTCACCCTATTTTGGACACGGTGGGCTGACGTCAAAACCCCGTAGATCCGTCTGTCGGTATTGGCAATTGCGTTATGTGTGCCCGGCCCCTCTGCAATGGTAGCTGAGCGAGTAGTTGTCAGGGGCACGCCAAACATTTGTCTCCCTCGGCCCTCTGCGCTGTCCCGCTGACAAACGGTAGGACGTCGGTGTTTGTGGTGGTGGCTGTGGCGTCTGGCGTTGGAAGTGTGACGGGGCGACGTCTGGGCGTGGGCGTTGAGGAGGGCCGTGATGGCGGGCTGCAGCAGCATTGCTTATGGCTTGTTGCTTCGGCTCTGGAAGCTGAGGAACGGCCAGCAGTTGCTGGATCTCCTGGCGTTCGATATCCGTGATGGAGTCCACGTGAAGAAGCACTTAGCAAGAAATTGGCACAGCTCTTTTTGCACGATCGCTCGGATCTTCTCACGAAGGTTGGTGGTTCTTAGCACTTGGATGGCGGCATATCTTGTAGACGAGAAATTGCGGTTGTACTGCCGTGTCCGCGTCTCCAGGGTTTTCTCTAAGGTAGATGCCTCTGAAATGAATTCGGCGACGGTCTTTGGCAGATCCCTGATCATCCCGGCGAAATGTTCTTGTCTACTTCAAGCATAAGGATGCGAACTTTGTTGTCTTCAGGCATTTCGGTGGTGGCGTGAAGAAAGGTTCGATTCATTTCTCCCGCGAAGATAACCACATTCTTATTTGGGAATTGCACCCTCGTATTCAGTAATGTCGCGGCTCTTTCCTTTCTGGTGATGCTCCTGAACGTGCCCAAGAATATGCCGCGGAAGAGATCCCATGTCTGAAGGGCAGACTCCCGATTCTTCAAACAGGCCCTTGCCGCGTCTTCCAGGTAAAAGTAGACACGACAGAGCTTCTCTTTTGTGTCTCACTGGTATAGGGTGGCCGCTAGTCTTAGATCTCTGTCCATGTCCTCACACTCACTCCGGCCCGAGAAGTGATGACAAGGCAAACTCTTGAGAACCCTCCATGAAAGTCCTCATCCAATGTTTATTGATTGATATGTGGGGTTTAACGTCCCAAAACCACTATATGATTATGAGAGACGCCGTAGTGGAGGGCTCCGGAAATTTAGACCTCCTGGGGTTCTTTAACGTGCACCCAAATCTGAGCACACGGGCCTACAACATTTCCGCCTCCATCGGAAATGCAGCAGCCGCAGGCGGGATTTGAACCCGCGCCCTGCGGGTCAGCAGCCGAGTACCTTAGCCACTAGACCACCACGGCGGGGCTCCTCATCCAATGTTTCAAACATTGAAGGACTTTCAAATCATTTGTTTCCATCCATCCGTCAAAATGGCTCGGTTACAGAAGTTAATTAAAATAAATGTGTTATGCAGGCCTGGCTAAGGTGTCATACCCTGCTATATTAGAAACACACTGACAAGCGGTAAAATTAGGAAAAAAATATGCACGCAGTCGGCGGGATCCGAACTCGCGTCGGGACACCCCAACGATTTTCAAGACCATCGCCTTAACCACTCGGCCACGACTGCTTTTTTTTCCTTAATTGCCTTGCATATCATGACTGTTCACATTTTACATATTTGCATATTGGTCCAAATTCAAGTGCGTCACAAAATACACCCACAGAATTCATTAGGTACTGTCAGCTCTTGGCTGACTATTAATCAATACTTGGGCAGTCGTAACAATCGCTCAATGCACCCAATTCAGTCTGGCACATCCTCTTGGCTTTTCAGCATTTCAAGAAAATGGCACACTGACTTGCAAAAAAATTGGCGCACAACTAGCACTTCTACATCCGCGTTTTCAAAGGCACATCAGGTTTTCCATATTTTGTGCAGGCCCAGAAGCATGATGAGATCATAAGGTACACCTGCCTCGTTTTTAACCGAAAGAAAACGGATGCCGTGTGGACTTAACGGTAATTCTTTTTTCAAGGTTCTTTGCAGTATGTCCCAGAAAAAAACGCCGCTCCAGCAATCTATAAACACGTGTTCATTTGTTTCCGGTTTTTTACACAAGTGGCAATTTGTGCTCTATGGCACGAATACTCCCTTACCCTGCAACCACGTTTTAACTGGTAAGGTACTGGTATTTAACCTAAAGAAAAATGTTATGACCCCTGGCGCTACAAGCATTCTTTTAACACGTTTCAGAACATCCTGTCCTGGGCCTGCACAATATAGCTGACGGTACAATGGTACAGACAGTGAAACATCGACATGGTCTTTATACAATTTTTTACGTGGTACTTCAGCCAGATACTCTAACAAAAATCTCAGTGACAAAAAGTGGAAAGACGAAACAACTTCCTTTAAATACCCTTGTATTGGTCCTTGCATATTTGATGATGATACGAGAAATTCCGGCAGCACTCTAGATAACCTTAGTTGTATAACGGTTCTCAAAAAGGGGTCATGTACATCACGCAGAAAAAGGAAACGATTGACAAGTTGTCTTACGTACAAATGAACTAATCTAAGCCCGCCATCTCTAACTTTTCTGAAGAGGTTTGTGCGGCTTGATCTTTCCCATACAGAGCTCCATATGAAAATTGCAAATGCTCGGTGTATTTTCTGTACGCTTATTCTACTGCAGTGCAAAACCTGCATTACGTACCACAGCTTGCTCACCAGAAACAAGTTGCACGTTGTGGCCCGTGCGAATATCGAAATACCCCAACCTTTCTATTTTTCTACATCATTGCGCCATGCCTGTGCTTCTTTTTTCCAATACGGTTCACGGTCGTGATAGAACTCCATCAGCACTCCTAAATACTTCACTGGTGTTTCCTGCCATTTAATGTTTAGAAATACTCTTGGTGTGACATCCCATTCCCCATGCCAGAAGCCAAGGCACTTATCACAGTTCACGGCACTACCACTCTCCTGGCAGAAAGTTTTCACGACATTTACAGCATGCATTATACTATCATAATTTGTACAGAAAACTGCAATGTCGTCTGCGTATGCAAGGAGGCTAACCTCAGCTTCATGGAATTTAAAGCCACTTATTGCAGTGTTATTAATTACACTTAAACAGAAAGGTTCGATAAAAATAGCAAAAGCAGGGGCGATAGCGGACACCCCTGTCTCACTGACCGCAGCACAGGTATACGCTCACCCGCAGTTTTATTTATTACCAATCTTGTAGAGCTACCAGTGTGTGCCCTGCGCACTCCGTCGCTAATCAAACTCCCCACGTTAATGTGCTCAAGTATAGAAAGGAGCAAATCGTGCGGCACGTGAGCAAATGCCTTTTCGAGGTCAATTTGAAGCATGGCAACATTGAGATGCATAGCGCCACAACTCTCTAGGATTGATCATGCTATGTTTATGTTGGTCATTATTTTTCTTCCTTTTATGCCACAAGTTTAGTGGGACCCAGTCAGTTTTGTCATAACTGTCTGGAGTCTTCTGGCCAATAATTTCATCAATATTTTATAGTCAACATTAGTTAGGCTAATTGGTCTATATGCAGTAACACTTCTTAACTTCGCAGGATCTTCTGTTTTAGGTATTAAGACCGTGTGGGCTGAAAAAACGATAGTGGAAGTTGTTTACACTTAAAGGCCTCGTTAAATACCTCCCTCCAAATAGGTGAAACTACATGTTTTAATTCCTTGTAAACTGCAGCACTCAGGCCATCTGGTCCTGGAGACTTACCATTGTTTAACTTATCAATTGCTTTTTCAACTTCTCGCTCTGTTATAGGCAATTCTAAAATTTCCTTTCTTTCAACATCAACTCTTGGCAGTAATGAAATGAAATCGCTATTGAAACGTTCTCCGTGTACACTGGTTGGTGTGAATAACTCTTTGTAATATTAGAAAAACGCACCAGATATTTCTTTTTTCGTATGACACCTTGTTCCTTTATATTCTTTTTCTCTTATTTCATTTTTACAGGCATGTCTCTTCTCAGATCCAAGAGCTCGTTTTGTTGGCATTTCTCCCGCTACCAAGTTTTCTGCTCGAGCTCGAATCAATGCTCCACGATAACGTTCTTGGTCTATCAACTCTAGCTTCTGTTTAGTTATGTTTATCTCCTCTGAAAATGTTCCGGCCTGAGTACATTCATACGCTACTAACTGTTGCCATTTTTCACGCAAGCGCACTTCAAGTTCTTTTTCAGCATGTCTCAGGATACTGGCTCTCTCAAGTGATTTCAGTTTAATGGTCTGTTTAAATATTTCCCACTAAAGTCCCCAGGATTCAAGTGTTATATTTGCTAAGTCTTCTATGCCCTCTAGGAAAATCCTAATAAACTCTTAATCCTTTAAAAGCTTTACATTAAATTTCCAGAGGTCGCAAGAGAAATTTTTGTTATTCCTTTTATGTTTACTCACTGAGAATAAAACCAAACAATGATCACTGAACGTAACAGGTGTAACTCTGAAATCATGGCACGAAGGAATGATTTCGGAGGACACGTATACTCTGTCAAGTCTAGCATGGCTTGAACGCTGAAAGTGGGTAAACGTAACCCCTTTTCCACTGCAAAGACATTCACTCACGTCCTCTAGCTGAGCTTTCGCCACCATATCGAGTAGAACGGCAGTGCTTGAATCTCTGTGTGGCCTCGAACTCGATTTATCTATACTCGAACAAACGCAGTTGAAATCCCCGGCCAAAATTAGTTTACGTTCACATTTCAAATACACATCAAGTTATGAAAAAACTCCTTTCAATCTTGAATCACAGTCGGTGCGTACACACAGTTTACTCTCCATTTTTCTCTTGGTAAGGATAAATCACATATGATGAAACGACTCGCGTCGCAGGTAGTTACAGACTCCACTTTCGCATTGAGGCTCTGCCGAATTAACAAGAGGCAACCTGCAGATGTACCCACCGCGTGACAAACGCACGCATCAAAGAGTCTCGTGAAAGGCTGCACCATTCGCTCAGCGTGCTCTTCACTCTCTACTTTAGTTTCCTGTACAGCGACGATTTCTATATCTTGTTCTATAATCAGGCGGTAAAACTGGTTTTGCCGCCGTTTGGCAGAAAGCCCACATACATTTAGCGTTGCCAATCTAATCGTCGCCATCGTTATGAGAGAAAGCCGAGCGAAAGACGCTTACCTTACCAACACCTAAACCACTGTCCCGCCGACGCTCAAGGCGTCGTCCCGTCGCCGCCTCGTGAAAGCGACGACGAACGCAGGCGGCCAGCACCCCGAGACTTTTTGGAGCCAGCCACTCGCCACTGCCCTTGATCTTCCTGGTTCAGACGCTGCTGGGACGTCGCGTCTCCCTCATTGAGGCGTCGCTTTACTGACGTAGTTTCGACTATATCCATGTCCAAAGTAGCGTCGGACCCGATGACTGGTTCAGCCTTGTGCTGTGTTTCCATCCGAGTCGAACGCCTTTGCGTTGGAGTGCCCATAACCGTATTTTCATCTGTGTCTTGCTTAGGTGTCTCCATCTTTCTCTCGCTGGTCGCCACTGCATGAGACGCCTCCACTCCTGCCTTCGACGCCGCCGCCCTCTCTGCTTCCTCTTCATCCATGAGCTATTCACTGTGGTCGGCATTTGTTGCTCGACTTGCTGCACTGGCATAGGAACGAGTACAGTCCGCCTGCTCATGCCCAAAAGCGCGACAACCAGCGCACCTGGATACCTGCAGTCGCGACGGATGTGTCCCGTGTTCCGGCAACGCAGGCACAGCGGCGCTCTTCCTGGCATGACCACCAGTGCCATGCCGCTCCCGAGACGCATCTGGTGGGGTATGCGATCCATAGTAACGCCTTTTTTAAGTAATAGCCGAACGAATCTTGTGGTTGACTCAACTCCTTCGAAGTCTTCGTCTCTCCACTTGTCGCTGATAACTTATTTCACTTCACTGTACTCCCGGAATGCACGCCGTACAGTATCTGCGTTGACGTCAAAGGCTACCCAATGCAACTTGACACGCAACTCTTGCCTTTCTGGGTCGACGACGACGCAGGGCCGGTCTTTCACGGAGAGTAGGCCAGGGTCCAGAAGTGTCTTCTTGGCTTCATCTGTCTTCATGTTAAGAAGCCAGACGTGTGACATCTGATACGCTTCTATGCCGCTTAACTCTTGAATGATGCCTAGTTTCTTGAGCGACTTTCGGAAGTTATTCATCCCGTACGGACGCGCTGAGATGTCGCAGTGCAGAACCAACGCGCGTCTGAGTCCTTCTCCTGTGGGCAGTGGTGGCAGAATTAAACGGTAGTCCTTGGGTAGTGATGTGCACGAGAAACCGCGGCCAGCATCGGCCGCTGTAACAGCTCTTGACGAGCCTGCCATCCTGCCAACCTATTTGCTAATACTCGGCCACGACTTCTGTTGAAAATAGGTTCGTAGCGTTGCGACTCAGGAGTGCGCATTACTCTTAAAGCCCATCGTCTTTATGTTTCCACCCGTTCCCCCATCACGTGTAGCCTAACACTTTTTTTGCAAAAAATCACAACCTAAGCTGAATTTATTTTCCATTCTCTCGACAAATGGTATATAATGCAGCGAGCACAGGTCTTGGCCATCTGCCGCGCTAAAAAAGAAG